TATAGTCTTCTTTACAACGCCGGGGCAAGTGCGCGCGAGAAGGGTATGGGGGCCGAATTGCTTTCGGCAGCTCCGGGACGCTCAGAGGAGGGCGCCCCGAAGGCCCCCAGACGGTTCCAAGACGCTCAAGAGGCCACCCCGACGACCCCAGAGGACCCCCAGTGAGCTTCAGGGCGGCCCAGGAGGGTTCGAAAACAGGCCAGGAGGCTCCCAAGACGGCCCTGGAGGACCCCGATGACGGCCCGAGGCGACCAAAATCATAGATTTCCGAATGGATTTGAAGGATTTTCACGCTCACGCCCAGGTGGGCCAAGGACGGCCCAGGCGGCTCCAGGACCCTGCCTGATCGCTCCAAGGTTGCTCAAGAGGGCTTCAGTACGGCCCAAGACTGCCCAGGAGGCGCCCAAGATGGCCCAAGAGGCACCCAAGGCAGCCCCAAGAGCTGCCCAGGACGGCCCCAGGACGGCACAGGAGGCGCCCAGGACGCCCCACGACGGCCTCAAGACGGCCTCAGGGGCACCCGAGATGGCCTGGCCCCACGAGGGCTCCGGGGAAGCCAAAGGCAAGCCTCGAGAGGCTCCCAAGCGGCCCCCGAGAGGCCCCGAGTGGCTTCATAATCGTGTGCGGGAGGGGGGGACGGACGAGGGGCGGCAAGCACACGGCAGGCCCTCCGGGGGGGGGGGGGGAGGGCGTGCGTGCAGGAAGGTGACCCAGGGGCTGCAGGCCCTGGAGGGTTCTTTGTCTGATGAGGGCGGCGGTGATATCCACGGCCAGTCCACGATTGAAGTTTCCCTGGCTTCGAGACCCTGAGTTCCTGATCTGGGGGATCCTTGTCCACTGCCGCCACCGTGAACGAGCCGCTTGGCAAGGGCGCCCTCGAGGGCGCGCAATTGTTCGCGCTTCGCGGTTCGGCTCCGATTCCTCCTCGTCCTCCTCTCGTCCCCTGAGGGGCGGCACGAGAGCTCAAAGTTAGTCACTCTTCTCGCAGCGCGAGGTGCGAAGGTGGGCGCCTTTGTCTGGGACGTCACGAGGGCCTTGCATGCTTGTTCTTGTGGGGGCGCCGTCATAGCGTCGACGATTGACGATCGAAGATATAAGGTGACGCAGGATCACTGGAAGAAGGATGAGGAGGGAATAGAGGAGGGGGAGGGGGAGGGGGAGGGGGAGGAGGAGGAGGAGGAGGAGGAGGAGGAGGAGGAGGAGGAGGAGGAGGAGGAGGAGTGAGGAGGAGGAGAGGAGGAGGAATAAGAGGGGAGGAGAGGAGGAGGAGGAGGAGGAGGAGGAGGAGTAAGAGGAGGAGGAGGAGGAGGAGGAATAATAATAATAATCATAATAATCATAATACGAGTACTAATAAGCATTGTAAGAATACACGCCACAATATTGATAATATTAATAATGCGAATAATAATGCTACTACTAATCAGACTACGCTCAATCAGAATAACAAGAGTAGAAATAATAATACGAATCATACTCATAATCATAATCTTATTAATAATAAGAAGAAGAATAATGCAAATAATAATAATGGTTTTACTAATAATGCGAGTAATAGAAAGAAGAGGCACATGAAGAAGAAGAAGAAGAAGAAGACGGATGAGGAGGATGAGGCGGATCCAGGGGATCCGGGCTTCTGGCGCCCTTGAAACTCTCGCTCCGTGTGCCCGCGGCCTCCTACCTCGCTATAGCAAAATACGTGCCAGGTCTCTGGCTACAGGTCGCCCGATCGAGCTCGCGGAGGCCAATGCCCTCCTGCCTTCAGTCCGCAGCATCATGCTGCGCTAGCTGAACCTGAAACTGTCCGCCAGGCCACGCGGCAGGAGGGGGAGGGGGAGGATCCAACAGCAGCAGGCGGCAGCAGCCGCGAGCAACAGCAGCAGCAAAGCAGCATCAGCAGCGGCATCACGTCACAGCCCACCTCTGCCTCGCGCTGCATCTTGGAGTCAGTGGTTCTGGTTTCCTGCGCATGCCCAGCCTCACGGCTACACTCCGAGCCCGCATGGGAGGAGGAGGAGAAGGAGGAGGAGGAGGAGGAGGGGGAGGAGGAGCAGAAGGGGGGGGGGACAAGCTAGGTGCGCTCGCGTCATATCTGACATCCTACCCCTCCCTCCCATCCCTTACCATGGCGCAGATCCCCTCTCTACTCGCACAGTCGGATGTCGAGCAGGGCAATGATCCCGAAAGGGTACGCGATGCATTGTAGAGCACGGCATGGCATGGCGTAGAAGAGCACCGCAAAGCGTAGTATCAACCTGCATTGCATTGCATGCCGTGGCATGGCACGGGAAATGACGCCAGCGCTGCAGCGGGAGCACGAGTCGAAACGAGCGGAAGCGCGGAAATGAGGCCAGCGCTGCAGCGGGAGCACGATTCGGAACGAGCGGAAGCACGGAAATGAGGCCAGCGCTGCAGCGGGAGCACGATTCGGAACGAGCGGGGCCCGAAAATGAGGCCGGCGCCCCAGCGAGAGCAGCATTTTTGGAACAAATGCAGGCGAAAACCCAACTCCGGGGAAACCTGTGTGTAAAAAACAATACGCGGGGGGGGGGGGGTCGGCCACTTTCAAACCGTCATCAGGGGAAGAGGGAGAGTAGTATTCATATTGAGTAATTGTGTAGGACGGGAGGAGGAGGAGGAGGAGGAGGAAGGAGGAGGAGGAGGAGAAGGAGGAGGAGGAGGAGGAGGAGAGAGGAGGAGGAGGAGGAGGAGGATGGAGGAGGAGGAGGAGGAGGAAGGAGGAAGGAGGAGGAGGAGGAGGAGGAGGAGGAGGAGGAAGGAGGAGGAGGGAGGAGAGGAGGAGGGGCGGAGGAGGAGGAGGAGGAGGAGGAGGAGGAGGAGGAGGAGGAGGAGGAGGAGGAGGAGGAGGAGGAGGAGGAGGGGAGGAGGGAGAGGGAGGAGAGGAGGAGGAGGAGGAGAGAGGAGGAGGAGGAGGAGGAGGAGGAGGAGGAGGAGGAGGAGGAGGAGGAGGAGGAGAGGGAGGAGGAGGAGGAGAAGGAGGGAGGAGGAGGAGGGGGAGGAGAAGGAGGATAAGGAGGAGAAGGAGGAGCAGGAGGGACGAGGAGGAGGAGGAGGAGGAGGAGGCCCTGCTTGTGACGGCCACAGCGGCTGCTCGCAAATGCCCAACGTCGAGGCAGGCGGCGGAGAGACACGAAGAGGAGGCCGACGTCGCCGGCGAACTCGGAGACGCTGACGAAAAAATCAAGAACCAATTTTTCAAATTCAAAACCGCGTTGTTTGAATTCAAAAACGAGTTGCTTGAATTCAAAAACGAGTTTTTGAATTCAAAGACGCAGCCAGGCCCTCGTTTCCTCGCATTCGCTCCGCCACCCTGCCCCACCGCGTCTCCACGCAGCCTCCCGTCGGACAGATGGCCGCATTTCGTGGCGACTTGCACGCGCTTTCCCCTTCTTCGGCGGCTTCCCGCAAGACCAGCGCATAGCTGGCCACACACCCGTTCGGATTCGCACGTTGTTCCGTTTTCTGATTCGACAGCTCTCCGACAGACAAGCGCCCACATTTCGTTGCGACTCTCATGCTGCCCCGCCGACCATCGCACGGGTGGCCACGCATTCTTTGCGATTCACGCGTTCTCCCGCTATCTTCATCCACGGCTGGCTACGTATTGATGTTCTGTCGTTTTCAGTGTGCACTTCCTTTTGCGACCGCTTCTGCTGCCAAAGACGCCCAATCCCCCCCGAGGAGCATCCCAGATCGTCTGGGGGGGCGCCCAGGGGGCCCCCCGAAAGAGCACCTACGACGGCCCCTGAGATCCTCAAGACGGCTCCGAGGACTCCCAAGACGGCCGAACAGCTTCCCAGGACGGCCCCACTGGGAGGCCCAACAGTGCAAACTGTTGAGCGCTCACCCCCTACCCGCCCCTCCCACGGTCAGCAAGCCTGAGCGCACCAAAATACTGTTCTCGGGACCTCAACGGCACGAATCAACTTGGTTGTTGCGTCGTGACGGTCCTGAACCCTGCCAGAAAAACATCCCCGGGACGTCAGCACCGTGTATCAGCGAAACTGTTGCGCCCTGACAATCCCGAGTCGCTCTAAAACACCATTTCTGGTACGCTAACCATGAGAACCCGTGAAGCTGCCGCAATCGTTGAAAACCAACGCGGGCGGCGCTAAGGCGAGAGCCACATTGTGGAAAAGGAACCGCCTTCAATACGTGAAGCTGTTGCCATGTTTTATAAAACGAAGGTGCGGTCTGTGCAGGCGAGAGCCATATTTGGGAAAGAACCGCTTTAAACCCGTGAAACACCTGCAACTCTGTTAAGGCGAATGCGCGCGGCGCCAAGTAGAAACGTATTGAAAACCACACGCCATCAATCTGGCGGCGCTAAGGCGAGAGCAACATTTTGAAAACCACGGGCGCTCAACCCGAGAAATTCTTAAGTTGTTTTGCACGCGGCGCCAGAGCGAGAGTCACATTTTTCCACTCGCGAAACACACGGCCCGCCATTCCGACTGGCTTCGGCGTGCGACAGGGAGGAGTCATTTACTCGGAAAAGGAGTGGAGCAGCAGGAGTTGAAGGACGAGGCCAGGCCAAGCACGACGACGGGGAGGAGGAGGAGGAGGAGGAGGAGGAGGAGGAGGAGGAGGAGGAGGAGGAGGAGGAGGAGGAGGAGGAGCGCGAGGATAAGGAAGAGGAGGAGGAGGAGGAGGCGGAGGACGAGGACGAGCCAAGCACGAGGATGAAGAATGAGCGGAGGAGGAGGAGGTGCTGCTGCTGCTGCGGCTGCTGCTGCTGCTGCTGTTGCTACTGCCCATGCCCCTGGACCTGCTGTCGCTGATACTGCTAGCGCTGCTCTGGGCGCAGGCAGAATCATCAAGCAAACAGCGCACCTTGAAGCAATGAGCAGCAGCAAGGGCACTCTGACCACTGGCATTCGTGGACAATTGTCCACGGGTCAGCCTCAGTCAGCTACAATGCTGGGATCAGCGCTTGCGAGAAGGGTGAGTGGCAGTGGGCACTCGCGCTGTTGATCGAGATGTGGGAGGTGAAGCTGGAGCCCGACGCCATCT